AAAAAAAATGAAATATGACTATACAATAAAATGACAATTTTCACAAGCTGTAAATCTGTCTAGATCATGACATATTTGGTGCCAACGAGCGTCATTTTTGGTGTGTTGACCAACGAAATTTCAGGTCGGAGTTTTGGACTGGCATAATCGTTTGCCATGACGATTTCTGTCTAGCCGATCGATAAAACAGCTCTTGCGTCGAGGCTAACCTTTGGTTTTGAACTAATCTGAAAGCCATCGAGGTACAAACGATTTTATTTGAAGTATAAATAAGATACAAACGACTGATATGGGGTTCAACTAGAAATTCGATGGTCAAGGTGCTACCGTTACCCCGGCACCCCCAATATCAAAATGGGGATAGTTTGAAAACAGTTGACGTACAAACAGGCACAAACGAGGTACAAACGATTGGTATAGGTTTCAACTCGAAATTTGAAGGTGGGGGTTCTGGGGACCTGTTTATAATTTAGTTATAAATCTCTTCATACGATTTGTTTTTATAATGCTTAATGTTTTAATAATATTTTAAATTTCTGATAAAACATATTTTTAAAATATTTTCCAATCTAGGAAGTTGGCTTTTAAATTATTTACTATAGGTATAAGTATTGTTAAAAAAATATACAAAATCAACTTTTATGCTATTGAAATTCAATAAAAATGTTTTTCAGCTATCTAGTAATTACAATTTTGTGTTCATGGTATGCTGACGGTTGTATTAATTACCAATTAATTTTTAGTTTAATAATTTTAATCTTTGAAATGAGGATATTATAATTTTTATTTTAGTGATTGTATAATAGCTTAATAATTGTTTAAGGATTAGGTATGTCACATATGCACATATGTACATTGTTTTTTTTTTTTTTTTGTAAGGAGAACCTGCGGCAACATAGACCATTGGGTGTGGGTTGGTACGGTAGGGGTTATTTTTGTATATTTGTTTGTAGGTTTTTAAGTGAGTAGGGTTGTATCAGGTGTTTGTGTATATGTGGCAAGGATATGTTGCTAAAAATCCCAGGTGGTCACCCATCCGGGAGCTAGCAACTGCGGCCAGTACGTACGCTCAGTGCGTTTCCGCAGATTGAGCGTACGACCACACCTCACCAAACCACATATATGTATATAATATTAGGGCGTAGAATGAGACATGGGTATAATTCAATTTGTGCTTCGTGTGTTTATCCATGTTCACAATTCATATTTTATTTTTATGATACATTACCGTATAATATTATATTGCAATATTACACAACGGTTAAATTAGMGTGCAAAAAATAATAATATATAATCTTTTCGGTTGTATAAACTATAAATCGTATAAATGCTTAATCCACTATAATAGTATAATCCATCAATCCATAAATTAAAATAAAAACTGATGATTTTCATACAAACCTAAAGAAAGCTCGTCATATTATTGTATTGCAGTGTATTTGATAATTGTACCTAATGAAATATCGTCAAATGATTTATAATATTCACTTTTTTCTAATATACAATATACATATATAGATTATTAAAATGTTTTGAATTATTACAATATTATTACTATTTCAATTGATTTGAATTTTCATTATATCATATAACATATACTTTAAGAATAAATATTAATAAAAAATAAGTACATAATATAATATCTAATAAAAGGTAAATGGGTTATAAACGGTTGTTAAGTTAGGTTAATAACATTTAGTTAAAATATGTTTTTCATAATGTTATTTCAGGTGAATTAATAACTAAGTATCCTACAGTGATATGAGTTTTAAATTAAGTAATAATTATTTAAAAATTTATTTCAGAACCGTAAATGCACTTTGAATCATGTTATTGACGTTATTGTGTTATACTTATGCATTCACTTTCATTATTATATTTTATGTCCATAGTCCATGAGGTATAATTATTAATTTTTATAAAGATAATATTATTAACTTTCTTCAATACAAACGTATAGCCCTTATATTATTGTCTATACGTAAATAAATATATAATTTGATATAAGTATAGACGTAACTAATAATCGTAGTAAAACGCATTACTGTTAAAATATAATTTGACTAGGTATACCTATTACAAATATGATTTAATTTTTCGTTAAAATCACTCATTACGTGTAGGAGATATTAATATTTAAAATTCTAAATAATTAATTACCCTCCGTATGATAACGCCTGCACCTTGGTTTGTATCCAACTCTTCACTATAATCTGACCTGAAAATCGAGTCAATTGACCAATTAGCCACCAAACGACCAAACATTACAGATCTTTCTATTTCAAACTACCATCTCCTACTAACCCATTAGTATCGCAAATCTCATCTACTCAACCCATAAATCCCATCCATAGGCTCAAACGAAAATGTTGCAGACATTTTTACATCTAAAATAAATTCATGTTGGGTTCCATAACTGGTTGTTGGCCTCCGTTTCCATATTATTCAAATTTATAATATTGTACATAAATTATCCTATTTACTTATTGTGCTGTCAAACACAAATTTTAAATATCAAATAAAAAAAAAATAATAATAATAATAAATTAGCATATGAGTACATTACTAAAAACATGTTATACATATACTCAGAACTCAATACCCATCGCGTTGGATATTATAGCTAGTCCAAGGATTTAAAATCAGTTGGGAAATTGAATGTATCTCTTTACCACAAGTTACCATTGATTCGTAATAATAATAACATTTAAGTATGATTGCTATATGTTCAAGATTTCAAATCTAGTGGAAAAAATCATTGAATACTACTGACGCAATTATACTGTCAAGATTTAATATGGCTTACGTATTTTCTTTTGCGATAATGTTCGACGGCACCTATGAAATAATAGCCACAACAAGATCATAACCGTGTCCGCGTGATCAACATGTCATAACATCAAAACATGTTGTAGGAAATCATCAACGATTCGATACAATATTATAATAATATTATTATACCATAACTATCATCCGCTCGCCATTAAGGTGGTACATTTGGTGAGTGGTAGTGGTTCGAGCGAATGTGATATATTGTAGGTAAGCACCTGAAAATGTGTGAACTATTTCGGGCGAGTTTCTTGGATATTGGTCAAATACTCGGATACAATTATTATTATATAATATACGAGTTGGCCTGATATGCTGCTCAGTGATATATGTATACGTAGATACTCCGATAGATACTCGAATTATTTTCGTCTTCTCCACAATCTAAGTAGAACGATTTGTAGCTTTTCATAGTGGGTTTTCACAACAAGTTTATTCGTACAATTAAAAGGACGCTACACATATACTTGTTGTCTCCGTATTACAAGTGCTAGACATAGCGCATTTACGTTTAGCAGATCACGTTTAGCTCCATTAGTTTAAAAATTAGAGTAAATTGACCTATTATGAAACTTGATGGTAAGGACATTATCTATGTTTGCATGTTGGTTTTTTACGATAAATTAGTTTTTAAGTGAGTTATGAGCATTTTTAATCAATGCTTTTTTATACATGCATAATTTGCTAAAAAATTGAACTATTGTAAAAAACCACATACAAACACAGATAATGTTCTTACCATCAAGTTTTATTATAGGTTAATTCATTCTAATTCTTAAATTAACAGAGCTAAACGTGATCTGCTAAGCGTAATGGAAATTCGCTAGGTATGTCACGCACTTGTAAGACGGAGACAACAAATATATTGTCATGAGTAGCGTCCTTTTAACGCCGAGTGACTCAGTTAAATAAAATAATTGTTACCTAATTATATTTAACTTTTTTCTAGTGTGATTTATTTCATATCATTAAATGTTTTCTTAGTACATAATTGTAGGGACGTTGGGTGGAAATATGAAGATGGTATATTATTATKAAGCATGATGTTCAGAGAAAAGATCGACACACGGGGTGAGGAAAATAACATAAGAGAAAAGTCTTAGAATTAGACTTAGATTCATAGCGGCTTTGTTTAAAATAAATAGAAAACAGTTTGAAAAAATTTAATTTAATAACTTCCGTAAGGGCTCTAAAATGTAATAATGATAAATTATAATATTTATATTAAATAAATAAATAATGTTAAGCTTTCAAAAAACAATTGAAATAGATAACGGAACAATAAAAGTTGGAAAACGAATAAGGACAATAAGAAAATATTAAAATTTGTTTTCTACGAACATATTTTTATTATAAAATTAATTTAATCTTAACACTACCTATTAAAAAAATTGTTAAGCTGAACTAATGTTACTTAATATTGTTATATGTTATAGGCAAAATAATGCAAATTGAGAACTATACAATTCCATCAGATAACAAAATAAAGATTAATATATGGATTGAGGATACTATTTTTAAAACGTTAGTTTATTTCAATATACAATGTACATATTATACCATTGAAATTGCGAATACCTACGTCTAACATTTTAATTAATTTCACGTAGCACATATTATATTTGGCTACAGGTTTTTGTATAAACTTTAAACGGAAATAATATAACTGGTTTAAACGTAACGTTTTTTTTTCAGTGATCTACCGACAGGCTAAAAACGTGGCTTACGTTAGATTCATGAACAAAACGGATTTTTTTTGCGAAAAAGCCAAAATGCCGGACTCAAGGTTGACTGGCAAAGAAGCTGATGTTTTCCCCTTTGGCATTAAGTCGTTATAGTTACATCATTATTATATTTCTTTCAATATTATTTAGGTACGTAAATTATATTTATTTTCATTTTTAAAACGGGTCTATAGTAATCATGTAATCGTCCCCTCCATCGAAGTTCCTGGATCCGCATAATATCGTATTTTATATGCCTACGTCGTGCACGGTTTGCTCTGGGTGCCCACTATCCAGGTATAATAATAATAATATTAATAATAACAGTAATGTGTGGAACTGTGGAGAAAGGATCTCGTGGTCGTTGTGTAAGACAATATTATTACCGTGTTCCGTGGTGGGGTCACTGCGCGGTAACCGTCCGGGTAAAAGCCTCATGTGATGATACCGAGCGCTGTATGACGTACGGAGCTCGTGAGAGTGCAAGTGCTTCCCGCGCTGGTGATATAGTGAGAGTGCTTATTAATTTATGCTATAAATTATTTTCTAACGGTGGAAATATTTTTCTTATACGAGAACTCCGATTTGGCCGTTATCGTTGTTATTGTTATAAACATAAGTACTGTGCTATTGATGTTCAATTGTTAAAATGAAGGTACGTTTATACGATTTTTTTATTTTACATTACTATATTACTGTGCGTGGAATTGATATAATATTATTTTAAGCCGTTATACCATATATAATATTGTTTGAAATAATACTAAATTACATGGATACAAATTAACCATTTTCATATTTTAGACTAAAAACAAATACCTATATATATATATTATACTTTTATAGTTGAAGTCTTGAAGGGTCGGCTGAAATGACGTGCTATATATAACAATCCGTAAATTTCAGTCACTAATTAAAACAATTAATGTATTAAAATTACTTTTAAATATTATTTGAAATTCACGTATAGAACATTCTTAACATATTCAACGTTTACGTTAATAAAACATAATTGTTTATATTTTTACAACTCGACCATTATTTTATTATTTTATGAAAAAAAAATTACGTAGCTCGTTATTTCTGCCGACACTTCATTTATTGTTAGTACTGGTAATTTTGGTCTCTAGAACAAATACATACATAAATTCCCAGTAAGGTTGATAATTCATTAACTTCTAAACTTGAAATTTTAATAATTTACGATTGTACTTTAATTTACTTATTTAATCTACAAAAATGTCAATTTTGTTTCGTTTGGTACATTATTATACATAATATGTAATTCTGTAAAGCCGTATATAGGGTGATATTTAATTAAGGTAATCTTACTTTCTAAGAATATCAGCAATTTAAGTTTAAATTAACTATATAAATCATGTAACCTTTAATGATATATTTTCAGTCAACATTATAAACAGTTCATCTTAATTGCATTTTAATTTAACAAAATATGGTTCAGTTAAGTATACCATGTAATCAGGGTTGATTGTTGTTTATTGATAAATTTGGTTAAATTATTAGATTGGAACTAGAGTAGTATCACCCTATATTTATGCAATATTATATTAGGTTAAAATGGTGTTCAATTTATTCGTTTAGAAATCTTATTTGATATTTTAATTAAGTGTGTATAGTTTTTTTTATAACAAATAATAAATCATTATTTATTTATATGTATTTAATGGTAAAAAGTTTCGTTACGTGTTATACGTGTTCAAAAGTGTATACTGCATATACATACATTTTAAAGCCTCTGGTATGGAATATTAATACCAAAACACGTAATTATTATTTTCACAATGAAACTTTTTTTATCATTAAAATGATGTATTTGTACTCTATATAGTTGAATTTTCTCAGTGACCATGCATTGTTGAGGATTATTATAATTTAAAAAAAAACAAAACAAATATTCAGTGTTGTTTCCTTCCAATAAAAGTATTTTCAAATATTATAATAGCTAATATTTAATTAAGAAAAATTATATTTACCTATTAATTAGTGTCACATCAGTCTTGCATAATGCTTTCACCATTACAGCTGTATTACTGAATAATTGATGCGATATCATCTTCATGAAATCATGAACCATTGTACATTATTTTACTTTCGCGAATCGCGGCTATTATTAATTACACGATTTCATTAAGAAACTTATTGTCATTTTTATTCTTGACACAAGTATTAAACGTTTGGCTTTAGGATGTGCACATATTATTTATACCTAATATTATAATGTATGTCATTCCACACAGAATAATTTTTAAAAAGTATTGCTTAGACTATTATTGTCCGAATACGATACGCGTTTAAACATTGAAACTTTTCATTAACCTCATTAGTAATGCGATATGTTTATAGMTAAAAATCAGTGGGTATAGTCTTAAAAACTAATCAATTAATATTGGTATTAATGAGCATAGTCACCTATTTAAAATTGATCAATATGAACTTCAAAAATATTGTAAATTCAAATTATCCAACGAAATAGGAATATATATGTAAAATGTCAATATTTTATGCGTTCATATATACTCATATTTTTGCCGCCAAAACATCAACCTGCGGCAGCGTAGACGTCCGAAGGTGAAAGTCAGTTGTAATAGCAATAACCATCTCACGCGCTATATAAAAAATAAATAACATTAAAGAACTGAATACAATCGTAATAATAACGATAGCAGTAATAAAAATAATAGTTACAACTGTCGAATGAGTGATTGTCTTTTCTGCATCGGCAACAGCACAAATGACGTGGATAAAGATAGGAAACTACTTGCGTATTTGAGACCGTTTGACGCATGAGACACCAAGAAATCACACCTTAAACGTTGTGAAAAATGTCCCAATTATTACAAATGTAACCATTTACATATTTCACGTGAATATTATTTGTTACAACTAATACAATTTACGGTTTGATATATAACCTACTCATATGCAAATGAAATATTTTCGAAGTAATAAAATAAATTGTGATTTAAAAAAAAAACCATGTACTGCGTTCCTCTGAAATGAATTAGAAATAATTATCACTGAATTTGATCATTATTTATCGGGGGGGTTTTTTTTTTATTTCAATTCACTATATAGGTACCTATGAGGTGTACTATAGTTGATTTTAAACCGGTGTATTTCATTTAACTAAAGCGCTGTATTACTAATAATTACCTAGTCCATGTGAATTTGAAAGTACGATTTCTAGCTATGACAAAATTATATAGTTCAATATCGTATTGAATATTTTATATTACTGAGAAAAAAAAATTATTTTTTGTTTATAATGTATTAATGTGACAGTTTGCATATAATAAGTGGTTCACAGATATGTAAAATCTAGTAAATTAAAAATGAATAATAATATTACGACGCTCTATAATAAATGTCTAGAAATAGGTACTATGATATACCAAGCGTTATAACTGGAAATAATAATTTAATTGTCAATTAGCTTATACAGTATGGGTATTCTAATTTATGATTCCATACCTACTAGAACTACTAGGACCTACGTGTATATTTAATAGCTAATGAAAACGAATTAAAGGTGTAATTATAAATTAATGACCTGACAGATATATACCGACATACTATATTGGTAACGAAACGATTTCGGTTAAACTTAAACAGATTTAGCGGCCTAAGAATTATAGCTACGTATTCTATAGTATTAGATAAAATGCGTGGGGCTAAATTCGATATTTATTAGACATAACTTGACTATAGTCATAACTCATAACCATATAATAATTTGTCTAGGTCTGTGTTTGGGTCAGCAAAAAATGGCCTACAGTGGTCGTCAAGACGTCGAAAATAATAAATCATTAACCTTATCTAACCTTAATATAATATAATATATTTTATCCGATAGTGTCATATTTCTCCGTGCGCGTGCTGTCACTGAAACTCAGCCGGTAGATTGTTGGGTAGCGAATAATATTTTATAATAGAACAATTATTGATTCAATAATATTATACTTTTTGTATTTACGATAGCGCCTTACGCGCAACTCGCGCGTTTAGAAAGCATGAACGTCTCACCAGCGATATCAGTTCTACACACCACGCGATAATAATACGCATCTATCGATTTTTTCGTCTAACCCGCGATCATCAACAGACAACAGTCATCGTCATTCATCTTGTGTATCGTCTGTTCGCGATATTCTGACGGAATATTATGAAATACAAAATAAATTATTATTTGTTAGTATTATAATATAATAGAACTTGTCCTTTGCACAGACATTTTAAGAAATTGACTGATAACAGAGAGAAAAGGCTTCAAACCAACATTTTTAAAAGAAGATAGCATCATACAATTTAGGCAGTTTGGTTTTACTATATAACATTGACCATCTCTTTCTAACAATGCTGACACTTGACAACTAATAGTATGGCATGGGGAACGCGCAGATGCGTTGTCCATTTATAAATAAGTCGACAGTGATGCAGAAATCATCGAACGGTTTACCTACGAAGGTCGTAATCGAATGATTTCACGAGACTGCGGACAGAAGTATGTTTTGGGTACGATAAAATGTATTGTATTGTTCTGAACGACTTATTTTTATTGTTAATCTGACTGTGTAACAGTGTAAGTAGTGTAACTACTTATTATCACATCGACAGAGTTCATATATCTGTAGACTTTAACGCTGCGATAGTTGATATATTTCATACATATGTATTATTATATACATATGTTTTTGTATGAAATCGAGCAAAATGATGTTCATTATCATGATTTATATAATTTTACGGATATTATGCTTTTTAAAAATAACTCACTTTGTGACTATGTGTGTCTCATCACCTCCCATACTGAAATATGTAATATATAATTTTTTTACGTATAGGTAATGAACCTTTTTATTCATCGATTTTGTAAATGTCAGAAGAAAAGTGCAAAAAAATGTTTATTTTCTTATGAGATGGAGATAGTACCTAACCTAACCTAACACTATGAAATTGTAGAAATTTTCCGAGTAGGACTCTTGCAAATTGAGTACCTAGTATATATGTTGTATATTCTATTACATTTAACATTTTAATTGGACAAAGGAAAAAACTACAATGCACTTCTTGTGGAAATGAACTCACTACCACTACACAAATTCTTAAATTCCTAAGCAAAATAAATCTGTATAGTAAAATTTAAATTTAAAAAAATAAACGTATTTATAAATAATTGTAACTGTAAAATGGCATTTGTCACCGATGTTTATAAGAACAATAATAATAAAAAAAATTAACATTTAAAAAAAAATATATATAAAACATACCTACGCATTAAAATGAATCTTCTATTTAACCTACCAACTTAAAGCAGTTGAAATAAAGGCAAATTTTTGAAATAAAGAGTATTTGGTTCATATTAAATCTATTTATTTTTTTTACTGAATGGGATATTAGGACATAATAAATAAGAATGATGAATTATAACAAATATGCCAGTGATGAATTTTTAGGTTACATTTACTTGTATGTCTACATATAATAAAGCTCTGAAAAGTGATGTAGTACAATTTATTATTTATTAATAGGTAATCATCGGTATCTTTAGAAAAATTGATGGTGAACTTGTATAAACTGGAAAATTATTTTATACCTATTCATCATTCATGTATACATGTATATTGTATAATGTAT